TCTTAGGTTTGGATCTGCTATTTATTCCTTAACAGCATAGGCAATGTTGCTAAACTGGAATAGTAGGCTTTCATAGACAAATTTGCCTTAGTTCTTGTCTTCTCAGAAAAGTATGTGATAGAGCAAGTTCAAATAAATGGAAATAAGTCGGTACGTTTTTCTTTGTTTTAGTCTTCCTGCCCCAACCATGTTCATATGGTGTGTTCACCTGTTGTGAAGCTGGATCTGATCTGGAATGGCCTCCTTTTTGTGATTAGGTAAAAATTTGTAATGAAACTGTGATAGCTTCCAGATTGAGTTTCTAAAACTTTAAGAGTAATGAGCAATTCATAGAAGTGAAATAAATAAGCTAGGGTAACATAGTGCTTGGAATGTATGTCTGGGCTGCAAGCTAGTTAATTATTTCATTTAATTGCAAGCATAGGGGAGTTCTGATGGGATCAAGGAAAGAATTTGTGGGAAGTGAGATACTTATTATTTCCCTCCCAAGCCTCTTTCATTTTCTTTCAGTCTCTTTATCTCTGTCTTTTTAATATTTTTAATATTTTTTTTAATTCAAAGTTTTAAAGAGAACATGAAAGCTAACACAACCAATACAGAAATAAGGTAAACAGAAAAGAAGAACAGAAAGAACAGTAAGAAAAGATAAAAAGAAATACTAAGGAGCTTCCACTCTTTATGGCTGATGTATTGTCAACCTTGCAAGGTAGTCAGAGAAGAAGCACACACAGAAGCCATGGTGGGTTTCTATCGGTTCGCCTTGGTTCGGGAGAACTGGTAGCAGCGGCAACGGAAGACTCTGCCCACCCGCCCAGACGTCATCAAAAATGTTCTGCGCATGCGCAGAAGTGCTGCACACTCCCAAAGCGAGTGTGCTCCCATGGACGCTACTGATAGCAAACAGGTAGTGCCAGGATTTGAATCCCACTACTGCCCAGAAGTACTAGTTCTTACATTACTGAAAAGTAATATTTACAGAATCTTGAAAGTCCGAAAGTAGATCTCTCCCCATTTGCCTTTACAGTCCAAGAAACTAGGGAGGGTCCCTTCTGAGATTTTGCCATGGCTTAATTCCTTCTGCAGGTTCAAACTGCTTTTCCTTCTGTTTCCCAAGGTCTCTCCTTCATGTCATTATAAATATGGTAAAAATAAGACATTCAGATGTCTCTAGCGTCCAAGGTTTTTTTTTTTTAATCCTCATACTAAAAATATTTATTCTGAACAAGATTCTAACGATGTCTTCTTTAAAAAAAATATTGAGCTGAAGTGGGCAGGATTATATACAGTATAAAAATTAATAAGAGAATTATTTTCATCTTAAAACCAACCGATCACCCAGGACATTAAGCTAGAGCCTTTTCGGGGTTTCTTTTTAATGACTTTCCTGTGAACCTGCAAGAAGGAGGTTCTTTTCAATGGTAGCTTCTGTGCGTGGTTTACTAAAATATCTCCTGAATCCTTAGCAGTCTGTGATCATTATGTCTTATTAAAAAAACTCTGCAGTGATGTTAAGGTTCTCCATGGCATTTGCATTCTGAACTTTAATTCTTCTTTTTCTCTTAACCTAGGTTCTCTTTATTGTACCATTTATCCCTGTATTTTCGTTTAGTGCCATATTCCCCATCTCAGTCTTTGCTTTCTATTGCCTTATCTTTCCAAAACTTATCAAAAGTGTCTTCTGCTTTTCCTCTTAACAGAAGCTTTACAATGTAGTTAGCAAACCTTCAACTTCCTGTGTAGGGTTGAATTCCTGCAGTTTATTATTGGGCATATGCCATTGGAGTATGGAGATGACTGAAGCATGCATAGAACCAACATCATAAATGAGTGGCCATCCATTTTCCTCTGATAAGTGGATTTCTTGCTCTACCAATGCCTAGACAGGGGATAAATCATCCCAGATCTAAAATATCACTTGCAGAACAGGGGTGAAATTTACTTACCTTCCTTACCAGTTCTGTAGTGCATCTGCGTGCATCACAGGCATGTTCAGACCCTCTGGACGTATGTAAAACCTTCTGCACATGTGCTTAGAGTAAAAAACACATTACTTCCTGGTTAAAACCAGGAAGTAATGACACCCGGGTGGGTGGGCGGAGCTGCGCACTGCCATCGCTACTGGTTCTCTGAACCACCAGCCACAATCGCTACCGGATCACCCAATCCGGTCCGAACCAGGAACATTTCACCTCTGTTGCAGAAGCTTTTAAGCATAGGACAATAGTTTCAGGTGGCCTTATGGCTTCGTCCATATTGAAGTGGTTCATATTTTAGTTATGTTGGTATCCTTAAACAGAAATGAAACAAAATTAGATCTGGAGTATGGAAGAATTAAAAGAATCTTACCTAAAAGTGAAAAACAGCTTTTTTATTTGTCGCATGGCAAGATTTCAAAGATGCAATCAATAACAGCTTTCTTTTTATTTATGTCCATCATAAATGTTTACGGCATAGGACTATACTTTTTGCTATTCTTTTTGGTATCACTTAGTGATTCCAAAACACAGGTATTGTTTTGGGACTTTGACATCAGCTATCAACAGGCACTGTGGTCTTCTCTGGCAGAGGCTCTAGAATTTAAAGTGGAAAAAGATGCAAGCAAAATGTAAATTGCTCTTGTAAGGCAATATTGCCATTGTAAATTATGCTTTGTTTTTTCCATGAAAAATTCTACCAAGGCAGAAAAAGCCTGGCCTGATGATTTAGCTTTGCCAGTTACAGACCTTCTTGATAAATAACCTCTGCAATATGTCTAGAGCTTTTAACAAGTCAACACAATGAAATGTAGATTTGATTATGCAGCTCAGCCCAGCCCTGCAATTCATCGGCTCAAAAGATGTTGCTCTGCTTTTCTTGCACACATCAAATGTCTTCATAACTGTTAAATGCTGCTTAACATCAGTAATATAATGTGCTGGCAGGCTTTCCATAAGTTTAGATTTTGCATTCTGGGGAAGTTGGATTCCAAGCAATTTTTATTTTTTTAAAGCGACCCTTCACACTTGCTTTATATTAAGTTTTTAAGAACTGGGAAAATAGTCACTAAATTCAAAAAGCCTTCCAAAATCACCCTCCTCTTCCTCTTCCTCTTCCTCTTCCTCTTCCTCCTCCTCCTCCTCCTCCTCCTCCTCCTCCTCTTCTTCTTCTATAGCACTATAGCGCTATACAAATCATTGAAGAAGTGCTTTCCTTTAACATTTCAAGCACGCCTTCCAAAATCCTTGTCCCAGAACAGGACAACTCTTATTTGCAGAAGTAAAGGAAAATGAAGCATGTGGTCATATTATTTTCCTCTGCCTTGTTTCTGAGTTGAGGCTTCAAGGTGATACAGAGGAGCAGAGGCATCTGCAGAGGGGTAGGGAGTCTGCGAGAAAAGTTGAGATGGTGATTGTGATGGAAACCTTATCCTTTTTGTATGTGCAGTGACATGGAATGTACAAAGGGCAGAACTTCAGTCATGGCACTGTGACTGCCATTTTGACCTTTCCCTCCACTGAAGCCCCCGCAGAATACTTTGTCAAAGAAAATATGCCATCTCTTTAGCTCAGGAATGATAAATACTTCATCTCTGCAAAGTAACACATCTTGTCAAGTTAAAGCCAAGATGCTTCATGCAGCCCTGTGTAAACAACATAAATGCCACCAGAGGGCCTTTACTCTGGCATGATGGCTTGCCCTCCCCTCAGCTGTCCTTGAAGGCCAATACAGGAATATTCCCTATTGGAAGAGGCAATTTCCCTGTGACTCTGGATGTAGAGGAACAATAGAGCATGTGCTCCTTCAGTGTCTGTACTACACAAACATCCATACTAGCCTTATTTCACCATTCCAGCTGAATGTAATCAACAGCATACTGATGTACTTCACTTTAAATTATCAGATCAGTATTCAGTTTTAGGTAATTCTTAAATAAGGTATAAGGTAAGTGAGGCGGCGGTTTGAGGGAAGGGTCCCCCCCCTGGGTGCTGCCTTTCCACTAGCAATGTGGTTACTAGGAGTTGCATTCCCCACGACATGCGGACCGCCCCTGTGTGAGTGCATTGCCCATTGAACCCCATTGCCTGGGTTCGCACTATTGACATCACCGCAGAGAGTTGGGCGGCATCTACATTTAGTACATGATTGTTCTTATTCTTAATATGTGTTGGTGCTTTCGACTTAGTCTTGTATTCGGCATGGCTAGTCTAGTGAAGAGAAGGACCAGGGGAGACATCAGGGTTCCAATATTTGAGGGGCTGCCACAGAGAGGAGGGATCAAGCTATTTCCAAAGCACCTAGAGGCCAGACAAAGAATAAGGGATGGAAACTGATCAAGGAGAGGTTCAACCTGGAAATAAGGAGAAGTTTTCTGATAGTGAGAACAATAAACCAATAGAACAGAAGTTGCCTTCAGAAGTTATGGGAGCTTCATCACTGGAGGTTTTCAAGAAGAGACTGGACTGCCATTTCTCAAAAATGGTGTAGTGTCTTCTGCTTGGGTGGGGGGTTGGACTAGATGACCTACAAGGTCCCTTCCAATTCTGTTAATCTATTAAAATATGACTGACAAATACCATAGAAATCAAACCTTGCCTTCAATCCACCTTCTAGACTACTGGTCTAAGGGGGTGGGGGAAGCAGACTTGATTGAATTTTACACATTTTCAGTTCTAAAACTGAGGCAAGAAACTGATTGAAATGAGTCCAGACAATCAAACCAATGTTTTTGAAAATGAGTGGCAGCTATTGATCTTATGTACAAGTTTAGACTTTGTTTTTTTTATGGTTCAGCCTTTCTTATAGTTAAATTAATAAAGCTGAGTAAGCATGACATGACTTGAAATGCTGGAAAAGGAAAATAGCCCTGTAGATTCAAGATATCTGTCATTACAAATTCTTTCCAATTGCTAAACATACTTGCATAATTCATTGCCATTCATGAAGTTGAATATTGAGCTTGATACACTTTTCAAAGTTGTTAATAACAAAGGAAAAAATAGTTATCAAAGCACAAGTGATTACAATATATATTTTAATACAATGTATTTTAATCTAGTGGTCATTAGTTATCAGTTTACAAATTGTAATGCACAAAATATTAATATCACTTGCATATAACTGATACACACTTACTTAAATATTAGCTTATATTGCCAGAAAATCAAGTTCCAGTCTATAAATATTTACAGTAACAAACAATACACTAAGCTAAACCATGGATATCAAAATACTGTACAAAATAATGGGATATCCTGGGGCTAGTAATAATTATTTTAAGAGCAAGAGCTAACACATCTAAACAGAATGGCTTGGATCTGAGCTAAATTAAGGCAGCTTGTACCAGCCCATACACATAAAAGTATTCTGTCTCTTTCTCCTCTTTGTAGCAACTTCCCTTCTGAATCCTTTCTGAAAAACAAGGATGCTCTTCAGAACAATGTAGGAAGATGAATGTAGGCAATTGGGGAAGAAAGTAAGTATCTCCAAATTACGTGAACTTTCTTCCAAAACCTTCAACCACAATCTCACATTATTCACAGCTGTATGATGTTTTGTGAGTAAGTGTGTAGGATTGTATATGCATCTGTACATCTAGAGTTTATTTATTTTCATTCCATAAACTTCTTTAAATTCATTAGTTGTAAAATCAAAGCTGTTGAAAGACCAGTTCAGCTTATTTGCCGGGTGGCTGGCCACCTGTCATCTCTCCTGCAAGCAGAGTGGTATCTGGACAAGTCTATTTTGGGTATATTTTCCTCTATTCTCCACAGTTTTAATGAGGCTTAATAAATTTGAACCAAAGGAATGACAAAGCTCTGATGGGGTATACTTCCTCTAGTTGCCCATTAATCAGTTGCAAAACAACAACAACAAAAACAGTAAGGCTGTCTGGAAGTATATCAGTCCAGTATTGTTTGAATTCAGAATCCAGCTAGTAGAAGAACAAACCAATAAATCACAGATCAGCTTTGCAGGGAGTGAGTTGGAAGAGTTCTTGGGAATGAGGCCATGTGTCTGACTTTACAGAGACCAGATCTGACTTTGAAGGTATCCTCTATTGGAAGAGCTAATATGTCCAAATCTACTTGAAAGAGAAAGTACCCATAGAAGGAAGAGCAGGAGACTTGAAATAGTTTATCAGCATAATCAACAATCCACACACCAGATTGTGCAAGCACAAATGTCACTAGCAAAGAAATATTTGATTGATTTATAGCATATACTTATAGCATATAAAATCAGTATTCCTTCCTGTCTTCTTTTGCAATAATGAGCATTTGAAACAATGAATAAGGGACCACTTACGTTTTTAGCCATAGGTTTTTGAGCCTCTAGAGATGGTCATGTATTGTCAATATGAATTAGATTTAACAAAGTATCCCAACAAATTGCCCCAGCCTGCTAAATATATATTACACCCTGTATGCTTGAAAAACTCCCTGGGTTTATAGCCAATGATGATTTGTGCTAAATTCAAAACTTATTTGTAAAGCCTAGAGCAGCTTTGGGATTGTTCATATATACATGTTTATCTCTTGAGTCTATGCAAGTCTGATTTGCATCAATTTGCCTGAGCCATGGAGCATAAAGTGAAAGCACAGCTTTGCACTCATTGAACTCCTTATTCTTCACAAGCAATACCTTTCAAGGGAATCTGGTCATACATCCGGCTCTACCAGATCAAATGCTTAAGAAGGAAATAATGCACACAATGTAAACAGCCTAACATTTGTCTTGATAGTTGTGCAATTAAACTCAGAGCTTTTCTGTTCACAACATTTGATCAGTGTAATTTGAAAGAATATTAGAAGTGTGTGTGTGTGTGTGTGTGTGTGTAGAGTGAATCTGACCAGTTTCAAGGCAGCTTGTCTCTTTTTCCTTTTATTTCTTCTTCTTTCTCCTTATAAAGGGTGTTCCAGACACTTCAACTTGATAGATTGCATCTCTTGCTTTAAGAGTTCCATCATTTCCTTGCTGTCTTAGTTCCAACAGTCCCAGTTAGTGTACTGAAGCACAGCAACTCCTGAAGCTTCAGAGCTGATCCTCAGTTTTCACTTGAGATGGTTGCTTTGAACCTTGTTTAGAAGGTTATGGTAATGTTGAGATTTAAGGAATCTTGGATAAGAGTCTCTCTCCATCAATACATATATAAGTCTCTGAGCCTCATCAAAACTTGAAGGTGTGGGATCCTGAACTTTCTTAGCTACAGATTTTCTTATGTGAAAATCAATGTTGACCTGGAAAGAACAAAATGAAATTTCAACATCTTTGTAAAACTACCCCATTGATACAGCAATGTTTAAAGTCAAACTCAATGCAATGTGAATGATTGTGACACCCCCCCCCCCAGCCTTTTAAGCAACAGGGAGTGGTTCCATGGAAAGAGTTTTTTCCACGGACTGGAGGGGTGTGGTTTCACATGCTACCTACATCCTGTGGATGAGGCTTTGTTTGCATGGCCCAGTTTCTGGCATGTCGCAGCCTGGTGCCGGTTTATGGACTAGGGGTTGGGGACCACTGGCATAAATAGTAAATTAAATAATGATTGCAGGATTTCATTCTTAACATTAGGCAAATAGTCTGTTCATGTTTGTGGGACCTCAACCTCCCATTGGGCTACACTGTCTTTTATTTCATGATAAAAGGGGGGCCGGGGACACTGAAGTGATATAAAATCAATCTTTGATAAATAATCTTTGGTAAAATAAATTTCACTATGTGAAAATGATTCACTTAGTACATGAATTTTCCAGTCCAATTACTCAGTTGATTGATTGATTGATTGATTGATTTATTTATTTAGTGCTTACTTGTTTTCTGGCATCTGACTTGACAAACTCTTGGTAAATCTTTTCTGCTTTGCCATGTAAACAATCCACTTGTGCTTTCCTGTAGTCTTCACATGCCAGCCAAAACTCAATGTTTTCATCACTAAATTCTGATTTCAAAAATTCTCTGAATGCCTCTTGACCACCTACAGTGAATAAAAACATTAACATGATTTCAGTCATTGCTCTAAATTAGGTGGGATAACCTAATCTGAAAATATGCTGTACAATATTTCTGCAAATTTGTAGTATAATGTAGTATAATGTTAGGAAATAGAAAGGGAAAAAGGTCACCAGAAAGTTTTGTGGACTTTGATTAGTTCAGTATTTCTGAAATACTTTTGAACTTTTTTCTCATTCTATTGCATGCAAATTTGATATTTTGTTCAAATATCAAATTTGAGTTGAGTTATCCAAAATATAAGTTGAGTTATTAGTGAGTTATCCAAAAAAGTGATCAGCTCGAGAGCAGTTTCTCAGTTAATTCAATCAATGATTATAAATAAGTTGAAGGAAGGAAAAATGAACATCCTACCAATATTTTACAGAAATGATATGACAGCTGGAATTAATTGTTTTCTAAGTACTAGAAAATTACAAACACAAATCAGCAATCTTTTGCAATTTCTCATAAATGCAAAAGACAAAAAACAATCTTATCTAATGTTGTCTCTTTGAAAAGATCAGAATTAACAATAGTAATCAATATACAATCAAACCTCTCAGTGCTCATAATTAATTGGTTCCAGGAGGTATGATGAGTACCAAAAACAATGAGTACCAAACAAAATTTTCCCATAAGGAATAATGTCACAAGGCAGCTGACACTGATAACTTCTAGCTTGTGCATTGAGTACCAAACAAACAACGCATACTGGGACAAAATGTTTGCATCAAAATTCATTGAATACCAAATCAATGAGTTTCAAAGCAGTTGAATACCAAGCCACCATGAAATATACATAATTATAGTCTCCATTAGTGTCAGAGAATATGGTTTGGATGTATAGTATGTGCCCATATGTACATATGAAAAGTCATTAAACCAGGGCTTAGAATATTTTATTGAATAAATTGAATTAGTTTTTTTTTTTAATATCTGAAGGACAACACCAGTGCTCTGGATTATGCTTTTCAGTCAAGGCATATTTTAAGAAAGTGACAGCTGCATTTTTCCAAATTTCTTTCAAGGTTATATACTCCAAAACGTCAGAAAGAAATGCTTACGCTGGGTTGCCAGAAGCTTTTCTAGGGACTGGGACCACTGGATAACTTCTTTTGTAGAAAGCCTGAAATGACATAAAAATGCAAACTGTTTGAAATAGAGAGGCTTCCTTGGAAAAATATGAGACATTGGTGTATGTGTTTGATGTCTGTGCAATCAAAAGTATGGGTGTATTTCCTTTGCATCTTTGTTTGTCCTATACTGCAATTATAACAATATTATTTGATACTTACGTTACATCTCTTGAGCTGGGATATTTCATGTCAGCTGATTCAATAGGTGGTACAAGACCCATGAAATATTTTTTTGCTCCCACACCCCTAAAACAAATGAGAGAATATATTTACTCATTTACTGTGAATAAATCTAGTAGTCTTTTACAGAAATATATCAAAATAATCCAAGAAAGTTCTAATATAGGCATCTGAGGAAAACGTGTTATTCTTATGGATCTTCATGAAGTAACCATTCTGTGCAAAAAACAACAACTAATATCAGAATATTTTTGATCTGTGCTAGTTTCTTACAATAAGATGGCTAAGATGGCTTTCAAACTCCAAATAAACATCTGGAGAAGCAAATTCTATCATTCAGATTAATTGAGCTTCAGTGCTGTTCAGGCCAATTTGCTCAGAACCCAAATAAAGTGTTTCTTCTGATTTCCCCCCCGCCCTAGCTTATTTCTACAGAAATTTGGAAGAACTAAATTAATTAAAATTCTTATATAGCAGTTTATATCTATAAAGATATAATACTAAACATTTTAATTTGTTGAGTAAATTTAAAACTATGGATTTGAATTTAACAAACAATAGCCTAAGGCACATTTTAATTTACGGAAACTGCAAGCTAGTCATATGCATATTTTTTCATTAATAAATAACACTAATTCCAGAGGGACATCTTTCAAGTTTAATATACATAGAGCATATTTAAAAGTGTTTTTACAGTGAGTAGATAGTATTATATAGCTTTTATAAACTCCATAGTTTATTTTGTGTATCTTATCATCTAAATATACAGTCTTTGTACTCCATGCTGTTCTAGAGTCTGGCATTTGATCCTTCATGAGATATATTTTTAAATACTTCATGAAGTAGAAGTTCCAAAGGCTGAACTAATCTCTTCTGATGTCCAAAGCTTGCTGCTACCAGCTGCAGTCATGGAAGAAGACAGTGGTGGCTCAGAATATTCTCTAAAAGATAAGGCTATCAGATTTGAATTACTGAATTACTGATTTGAATTACAGTTGGCCACTAGTTGGGAGCAGAGATAGATTTTTTTTCATACTTCTTTCCTATCATCTATTCTAGAGATTGCCTTAATCTGTACACATTGAAGTTGTCTGCAGGACTGACCTACAACCCAATTCTACCTTCCAGTCCATCCTCATTGCTTTCTATTTTAGGTACAGGTCTAGGTTCATCTATGGGCACACCTTAATCCTTCAGTACACCATGACAATTTTTTTAAAGGTTGAAGGCCTTGTAAAAGATCCTTATGTCTGATGATTCCAAGCCACCTCTGCCTTGACGAATCTTATTCTACCATTCTCTCCTTAGATCTATAAATGGGATCAAATCAGAAGGGCAACAGAGGAAGAAGAGAAATGAATTTTTATGATTCATGATTGTAATTTCTAAATCAGCTTATTTATTAAATCAATGATTACCTTATTATTATTTTAAATAATCTATTAGTTATTAAATTAGTATTTATTACACTAGTTTAAATTAAAATTTAATATTAAATTAATGATCACATTATTTATGACATTTTAAAATGGTGCCCAATTCTATATAGGCTTTGGATGGCACTCAACATTGTAAGAATAAAAAGAACAATGTACATCCAAGATAAAAGAAAAGAAAAGAAAAGAAAAGAAAAAAGAAGAGAAGAGAAAAGAAAGAAAGAAAGAAAGAAAGAAGGAAAGAAAGAAAGAAAGAGAGAAAGAAAGAAAGAAAGAAAGAAAGAAAGAAAGAAAGAAAGAAAGAAAGAAAGAAAGAAAGAAAGAAAGAAAAATCCATAGGAGATTACACTAACCAAAACCTGGGGAAATAACCAGGTTTGCAATCTACAGGTGGGAACCATTTGGATCTCTGATTGAGCGGAGGAGGAAATTCCAGAGGGCAGGTGCTATGACTAATAACTTCTTTCATCCTGATAGATGTTACTATTTGGTTGCAGAGCATATTCATTCTGCTCTATAATCATACAGCTCAGGCAGGAACAGGAATTACAATGAATAGCTTACCAATCATTTCCATTCGCAGTGTTTTGATGTTGAAATAATTTACTCTAGGACTACTCTTATCATTTGACTCTCACTAACCCAGAACCAGAAATATAAAAACAGAGGTTTAGCAGAGCCTGTGGGGTTTGAATAACTGTTAAATGTTCAAGTCCTTCATTGCCTCCGTTTTGGCCACTTGAAGATGACACATTTGCAAAGTTTTAAGCTTTTTTTTTTAAAAAAGTTCGTCATAATTCTTCTGAAATGATTCGTGTTTTTTCCTTAGGTACCCATATGTGCGATAATACCAAGATGGGTTTGAGTGGGTGGCGGGACAATAATTTCCGTCTAAGAATCAAAGACTTTTCTTTCACACGCACACACAAAAACCATAGTACTGTTGAACTGGCATTTTGCTGCTGCTTTAGCTAAGACCACAAAAAAAGCCTAGGAAAACCACTGCATCTTTAAGCTAAAAAGGCTGCTTTGGTGAGTGCACATACACACACATGCACACATATGATACATAAAAAGTATCCTGCACCCATTCATAAGAACACTGAAAGTTTGATCCATTAAAAAAACAACTATGAATACTGTCTAAAAATGCAGGTGTGTTCTTTTAAGAAATAAAAATACTGTTGTTGTTTTTTTAAAGCAAACTACTTAAAACAAAGTTTTCTGTTCGGACTTTAACTATCATGACGTTTATTCAGATATAATTCCTTCATTCAATTCTATTCCTCTTATCTATCATCTCTCCCATTAAGGCTTGAACAAAGATACAGTTTGTTAATTACTGACATTAGCCTGATTGGTCAAAAATGATGATTATCCATTTTATTTGGGTTACTGAGCAGAAACCCAAGCTACTGGCTTTCGATTGATCATCTAGAATTTGCAACCCAAAACTGATGTTCTTCGGATTTTTGATTCGCAATTTGGATTCCTGTCTTGAAATAAAAAGGAAGCCTGCAAAACCGTTGGAGACCATACTTTTGCCAAATTGGAGTCCAAAATCCAAGTAATGAAACCTGAGTGGAAGAAACTTTTCCTCAGTATGTTTTTGTTTAAAATAAACTAAACCAGCGTGGCTACCGTCCCTGTCCTAATGTTTCTTCTATTTGTATCTATTTTATGTATCCAATCGATGCTTATACTTATTACCAAATACATTCTTGACAAATAAATAAATAAATAAAATTAATAAATAAAATTAAATGAATAAATAAATAAATAAAAGGGAAGATACACTTACAAAGCCTTTGTCTTCTTTCGGTGATCTTTGCTGCCTGCAATCCCACATGTCTTTATTTCGTCTGAAGCGGTGTGCCACATAAACAGCCAAGGCATTTTTCGTTGCCTCTCTTTCGGTTGCAATGCTTCTGCAGCCCTAACATCTAAAGGTTTAACCTCTTGCAAAGCTGATGGCTTTATACACTGATTCATATCACCTGCTTTGTAAGAAAGAGGCGTCTTTCCCACAAGCAGAGACACTTCCTTTTTTAAACCGTCTGATGACATAAGTAGACTTTGGGACTTTTTTAAAAAATTAAAATAAAGTAAAACTATTGGTTGCTGTTAAACTGGCTAGGACAGGTCTCAGAAGCTAAACTTTTTTTTTTTTTAAAAAAAAAAACCCTTTCTTACAGGAATTCTTTACCTATTTACAGTCAAAGATCAAAACTGTCATATAGTCATTTATTATAAGTGCTATTCATAAATATTAATTCACATATAAATAAAAAGCTGGTTAACAATGAAAAAAAAAATCCCTTCTCACTCTTATGTATGGTATGTGGAATTCCTCAGACTTGGGTTCTGCATCAGAGACCTAGAAGTTTGAGGTTTCTGTGCAGGATATTAGCTGTTCCTAGCAGAGCATCCTTCTGCACAGAGAGCTTTGATGTTGTTCCTGAGATCTATAGAATCACTCTCCCAGCTAAGGAGTCACAGCCTCAAGTGCTCCTACTTCCCCTTTGGCCACTTTTGCCTTTACTTTCCACATCAACAGTAGATCTAATAAGAACCAGACGGGCAGCATAAAATATAAGAATTAACTAAATATTATTGGTGAACTAAATTTATTTAAAAGTCTGTAGAGATTCTCAGCCATCCAAGTCATGGTTATCCCAAAGGTAGATAAGGTAGGTAAAATGAGGACCCAGATTGTGGGGGCAATAAGATGACTTTGTATAAAATATACAAAAGTATGAAGGCTATTGCTTAACGCATTGTAAGCCGCCCTGAGTCTCCGGAGAAGGGCGGCATATAAATCAATTTTTTTTTAAAAAAAGGTGCTTTTTCAGGAGGCAACTGAAACTCCCCACTATCCAGTCAGAGCTGAAGAAGTTTTTTGGATGAGAAGCGAAATGTCTTCAAAAGAAAAAAAAAAGAAGAAAGTCCAGTTGCCTCCTGAAAAATCACCTTTGGGATAAATTTATTAAACTTCAGTTTTTCATCAGATTTAATCATTATGAGTTAATACCAGCATTAGGCCTATGTACTCTTCATAGCAATTGCCTCTGAACAAAACCTTACCACCTTTTTCAAAATGTTCAAGAGAAAAGTCCACTAACGGGAAATATACAGTACTTTTCCTTTTCCATAAATAATTGGAATACTCTGGAATTTGGTTTAGATAATGTCTTGCACAATATATGCATCAAAGTAATAGCAGCACTTAACTGTCCTTAGTTGATCTCAACACTTTTACTTATCTATTTTTCGCATTTCTGAACCAACCACCCATTTCCCTCAGAGAGGGACTCTCCCAAAATGCTAAGGTTGGACTTATATCAATAGGAAATCACTAGATTCTTGACTAGATTGGGAAGTCAAAAACAATTCCACGTCAAATCAACAAAAAACCACTTCCATGCTGTTGCCAAGACAACTACATAGCATGGCCATCTCCTTATCTTTCTTTTTTAAGAAATAGAGAGGGTTTTTTTTTTTTTTTCATCTGTGGGTATTCAGATTACTATTTTGGTTGGTGCAGTGAAGAGAGGTAGGAAAAAGTCTTCAAGTGGATGGGATAAATATTTAGAGTACTCAGATCATTTCTTCTGTCCATTTGTGGATATGGGATGCAGTAGGCTTCTTTGCAACGAATAAAACCCTTAATTGAGACAAATTGTGCCTGGGTGTTAAGTTGCAGTTTGGAAAATAACAAATGATGAAAAGCATAAATATTAAAGGGAAAGGGATGTGTGTTTTTACAGAACTCAATTCATATTTGTTGCTGTTCTGCTCATAATTTGTTGTCCTAAAATAGTCTACATCCTAATCTAGCTATCAAAATTTTGTTTTACCCAAAATTTACCCCAAACATTCACTCATCTGAGAAGTTCTTAGTAGTCTATGAGTTTGATTGTTTTCTTGCAGATGTTTCATTACCCAAACTAAGTAACATCATTAGCTCTCTTCAACCCTAAGCTACAAATATTCTCTTTTATTGAAAACATCCATCTATTATAATTCAAAAACATTCCATGATAGGCAAGAAAAAGATGAAGATTAATCAGTTATATTCTGTTCTTCTGGCCCATGTATTGCACCCTGTCCCACCTTTGCTGGGCTAAGAATCACAGCACAAATTACAAGTGGATGAGAATCATCAGTTCTTCGTTGATACTAATGGGAAACAAAGACTTTTCTCATTTGTCGATATGGCATGACAGCTTGGAAGAGGAGGAGGAGGAGGAATAATGGATGTGAGCAGCACACACTGATCTTATAGTTACTGCCTGGTTGCACACCAAGTCTGACTGTTGGGTTTTCCCTCATCACGTACTTTTCTTAAAAAGAAAAGATGACTCAATCTGTAGGATGCCAAACTCTGCATGCCAAAACAGCTATATGGGTTTGTTGATGCTTTTGGGAATGTCCCCTAGTACATAAATGTGGAGGAAAAGCTGTACAGTCACTCTTAGGGGTGCAACCAGGCTATAACTAGCTATTAAGTACAGTCACTAATTTTTTAAGATTTATGCACAGCAGTACAATTGCCTTATTTTACATATTGACATAAATAATTGTTTGTGTGTTATTGATACTATAGTATAGGCAGGATAATCAGTTCTGTAATTACCATGTTGACATATGAAATGTGTTAAAAACTGTATAAATTGTCCAGAGCATGTCATATGAATGCTTTAAATGCCTAGATATATTTTAGGAGGCTTTACAAAGAGAGAAACAGAAGATATTCATTTTATTTCTGAATAAATAGGCAACAGATTGCACTGTTGTTGCTCTGGAATCATACCGAACCTTTAAATGGTAGCTTGCTTTCCAGAATCCTAGCACTCCACATTTTTACACTTTCAACGGGCTTCTATTTACCGAAATAAATGTATGCTGGCTATTCAATTCAACCTTCATTTTGTTTGTGTGGTTACTTACTTAAATTAACCCCAGCATTTAACTAACCTTGTCTAATCTCTGAAATTAAAGTTAGGTGAAGCTTAGTTATTACTTGTATCAGGGGTGGGTTCTACTTACCTTTACTACCGGTTTGCAATGGGGCTGTGCGCTCTTCTGCGCATGCGCAGAAGCATTTTGATGACGTCAGGGTCAGTGGGTGAAGCCTCCCACTGGTTTTACTACCAGTTCTATAGAACCAGGGGCAACCCACCACTGACTTGTATGAATACCAAAGGAATACTAAGACTGGTGGCTAGGCTGAATCATTACCATTGTCACCATCACCATCTAGCCATTCTGGAAGAAAACAAGAAAAAAAAATACCCCATAATAGGCCTGTTCAGTGAGTCACCAGCAATCAAGTTTCTCTTATAAAGGATGTTTTTTTATTAATGGAAAGTATAAATGCAGATTTTGATCCCCAAATATAATATGTCATGGTGGTTACAAATCTTCATAAACACTTTTATGACTGGTAAAGTGAATCACTATAGTCATTAAGTAAATCATGTGGTCGGTAAACAAATCCATTCTTCCAAATTGATGGTTTCTTTGCTGGAAACAGGCAAAAATGTCAGAAACCAGCAAAAAAATAAATACATCACAAATCACAGTCACCTGACTACAGCATGCTACAACTGGTCATAAATGCAAACTGGTTGCCAAGCACCTGATAGACAATCACGTGAACATGGGATGAGGCAGCAGTCATAACTTCATGAATAGGCCATATGTAGCTTTTCATAAATCTGTCGTAACTTTGAACAGTTGTTAAACAACTGGTTGTAATTTGAGGGCTACCAGTGTCCATTCTTTCCCTTTGGGTTTCTATATAGTTATTATATGGATTATGTATTGAATGCTCCAATATGTGTTTTTAAAGAGGCTTAGGATAATTAGGATCTGCTCATCTGGTAATGTGCCAGGTCCATGTACGTAATCAATTGTTGGGTGTTGATGATGGCAAATGACAATGAGCGTTGATGGTTTTACAACTAAAAATAAACATGAGCATGAGCTCTGTGTTATGGGCATCTTACATCCCCTTTGTCTCAAGCAAGATGAGCCAAGTCTTAAGGATACTTGCTTCAATCTTTCCTTCTACAAAATGCTGACAAAAGCAAATCTTTACTAAAAGGAGAGTAGTTTTGTTCAGAACTTCGTAGCAACAACCAGAATTAGACATGGATAACAAAGGAAGCAAGCTTTCTAAACACCTATTACTTTGAGGTACTCAGAAAAGTTTCAGATGACAGTACAAGGATTCTGATCCTGCTTTTCTTTTTAAACATGAGTGTCTGTGGGTGTCTGGTGTGAGAGAGCAATTCAAAGTAGTAACAAGTAGTTTTCTTTCTCCTTCCTCCTTCATGGAAAAAGAACTCAACCTTTCACTTTTGGGAATGTGAGAGGCCTTGCTGTTGAATATTATTCATACAATGCTTACCATCTTCCTTATCAGCGTGAGAATTGATGTTCGATTAGTTTAATTTAAATGTTATTAAGGTGGCCCTTAAAGTTTAGATCTTTTTTGTTTTGCCCAATTTGTCCTGATCTTTACAGATTATTTTAATGCGGAATTTCAAAACATAAATAGCAAACAAAAATGCACTCCTCAGACTGTCCAGAAGTGCACATTATGATCACTATTCTTCTGAGAAATAGCAATGGATTTAATACAGTGCCAATAAAACTAAACTTCATTGGGTGAGGGTGACTTCCCCGCCACCTTGAAAGAGGCGGTGGTGAGGCCTCTCCTCAAGAAGCCTTCCCTGGACCCGGCAGTGTTGGCTAATTATTGTCCGGTCTCCAATCTTCTCTTTGTGGTGAAGGTTGTTGAGAGTGTGGTTGCGCAACAGCTCCCCCAGCACCTGGATGAAACGATGTATCTGGATCCATTCCAGTCGGCTTCAGGCCTGGGTACAGCACGGAAATGGCATTGGTCACATTGGTTGATGGTCTCTGGAAGTTGCTCCTCTG